CAGTGATACACTGATACAACAGACTGACACAATGATACACCGACAGTGTTACACTGACACAACAGACTGACACAATGATACACTGACAGAGTGATACACTGACAAACTGACATACAGATGGAAACACTGACTGACCTGAAGAGCAGCATGAGAGCCTGGAAGAAGGTCCTGAAGTTGTTGTGCTGGTTGATGGCGCTTTCTTCATCCTCTTCATCAATTGCAATATTCCCGAACACCTGAGGACCACCATAGACTGTATATTCAGGGAACTGCACTGTACACACTGTATAATGTACAAACTGTATATACACAGTATACACACTGAACTGCACTGTAAACACTGTACAGCACACACTCTGCACTACACAGTGATACACTGACATTGTACTGCACACACTGTATACACACTGCACTGTACACACTGCACTACACTGTATACACACTGCACACTCACTGTACACACTCTGCACTACACTGTATACACACTGCACACACACTCTACTGCATACGCACTCTGCTGCGGACTGCAGTGCGCACGTACTGCACTGCAGAAAGCACTGCACAGCGAACTGCATGGAAACTGTCCATACCTGTGCGACACCTTGCACACTAGGCGACGCACACACTGTCCACACACTGCACCCCGCGAACACCCTGTCCTGAAGACACTGCACACACGCTAAGCTCTCTCCCACTCACCTGCATCCCGATGATGGCGTAGATGAAGAACAGCATGGCGATAAGCAGGCAGACATAGGGCAGGGCCTGGGGAGACAGGGAGAGAGGTCAGGGGTCACGGGCGCCCCGAGGAGCAGGAGGGCGAGATGGGGAGGAGGAGGGAGGGAGCACCTTGAAGGACTGCACGAACGTCCAGAGCAGGATGCGGATGGTGTAGCCCTGGCGCAGCAGCTTGATGAGGCGCGCGGCCCGGAACAGCCGCAGGAAGCTCAGGTTGATGAAGTTGTTCTACAAACACAAGGGCGTTTAAACACAGGCGGGAGAGAGAGAGACAGAGAGGCTGCATCAGCCTACGCAACCCCACCCCCAACCCCACCCCCCCACACGCAGCAAACCCAAAGCAAAGACAGCGGACAGACACACGAGGCAGGGGAGAGAGAGGAGGAGGAGAACGCAGAGGAGAAACGAAACGAGAGACTCACCGAAACAGAACCAAAAGGAAGGGAAAGTAAAGGGAAGACAGAGGACAGAACAAAAACAAAAACACATACATCTCCCAAAAGAAGGACGAAACTGAGAAGCAAACAGAGGAGTCTCTAACCACCATCATCCAATCAGGTTAAGTAGCGTTGCGTTTTTTGAAACAACCAAATGCACTGATCTCGGAGACAAGCAGGCCACACACTATGGAGTCTGTCACGCGTGTCAGAGCCACAGACACAGGGAGGCGCCACGCCTGAGTGCCCACAGATCCCGCACATGTGCACGCGTCGCTCCGGCTCCGGCTCCGGCTCCGGCTCCGGGATTTACCCCACTCCGCTCCACTACTGCAGCCCCGGTCCCGGAGAGCCCCAGTCCAGAATCGCTCTGCGGTGCCCGACACCGACCCGCGGCCTGCTGGACTGGCGCCCCCCAGGGGCCCGGACCCGCCGGACTGGAGCCCCCCCCTGCACTGGGCACTACGGCTCCCGCCCGCCCTGGCTGACCGACACTCACACTGGCGCCCGGCGGAGGGGAGCGACACATGGGACTCCAGTGATCATGCGTGAGCGCCCCCTGCTGCGCGGCGAGCGGGACACACAGGGGGGGCCGGGGGAGGGGGGCATGCGGTTCCTGACAAGAGCATGCTGATCCACCAGGCTTGCACACGGCAGCGAGACGAACCGGCATGACAGCACAGCGATGCAAATATCCACACTCTGAGAGACACCCTGAGGGGCGCCAGGGTGCCAGAGAGAACAGTGTCTCA